AACCCCTCTGATTTGGTGTTACTATATGGATGATAATCTTTTATAAGGCCAGTATACTGCTTGAAATTTCAATTCTAACTATTTTAAAAAAGGAAAAAATGTATCTTCAGTGGTCATTTGTAATTCCACTTGGAATGACTCTTGGAGTTTCCAATCCAAAATCCCATGTGGAATTCCAAGTAGAATTCCAAGTGACTTTACAAGTGTAAATACAGATGAAACTACATATGTGATTACAAAATATCAATCAGTAGGGAAGATGATCCACAGTTAAAATCAGACACCATGCAAACAAACTTGGAAATACTCCAGTACATTGGATTGAGCTCACTGGATTATTGGGATAAAGGCGCTCGTTTATTAATAAAGCAAAATAATATACTAATTGCGTTGAGCTTGTCATTTTTTGAAAAATGAAAAAAAAATTGTTAATAACCTGACAATTATGTTTTTGTTTTTATAGTTGAACGAATGATCAACTGCATTTAAAAAGCTTATCTTTCTTTCAGGGAGGAAAAGCGAGAAAAGTATTACGCGCAGCTCTTTTCCGTATGTGCAGTGTGCAACTATAGCTATAGATATATAGCCCATTGTATGCATATACATATAGGTTTAGCTTCTTCTCTCTCCGTCACCGATGCACACATTTAGATTTTCATGTCTTCCTCACTTATCTCCCCTTATCTCTCCCCGCAAGCCGAGCCTACAAGCCGCCAGCCAATAGAAAACGTGTGCATGGTTCCTCTGCTGGCCACGATGGATTGGTTCTCAAATCAGCGCCGAAACATCGGCACACTCTTTAACATAGGCACTGGCAATCTCTCTACTTAGCTCTGGCTCCACACGCTGAACGGGTCATACGTCCTTGGAATCCAAACAAACACCGTTGTCAATCGTGTGATTGACGGACAACGTTGCCATTATATGGGGCGATTTATAATTTTGGATTTAACATATAGTCTAATCGTTACAACATATCCCAAAGACGTACGAGAGAGGTCCAGTTTTACCCGAGCTGACTCGTATTAAATTTGACCTCTCTTAGACGTATCATATCAAGTAAATAATACATTATTACGTAGAAACAACTGAAAGAATAAATGTACACATAATCTCTTCAACAAAAACAACACTCATAGCTTGTACGTTGACTATGAGCACATTTTAGGTGGTACTTCCAATGCTGGTGCTCAGTACCTAATTTGCCATCCTGAAAACCTTAGATCTTATAGGAATAGTTCTATTTTATTTAATTACAATTCTATTTTTATGTGGTAATTTATGAAATTGGTACTTCTTTCATGACATAAGTATACTTTATTATACGAATCTCATTTTGCGCTTCCTTTACAAGCATTTATGGCTCAAATCGTTGATGCAGCATTACTAAAGCGTCAACTTTTTAAAACACATTTGATATGGAATTTGAATGTGACTTTACCTGGTACATAACCAATATTGATACATTTATTATTGTCATATTAGTTGTGGAGATTGTGCTCAACCCGCACCTGGAGAGTATATTTCTCTTATTTTTATTCATGTCTTGAAAATATTTTAAAATAGAGAGCAAGTAAATTAAATTACCGATCTTGAGTATATTTGTCATTAAATAGGGCATGGGTGGTTTTCAGACTGATTATAGAAAAGTGATAAAATCTATGAATGTTCCAATTGATGATAAATGTATTATTAGTAATAGTAATATTACTTGTGTACCTCGCAGAGCGTAATATACTATTATATAGATTTTTGTCATAATTAAGTAAATATTTTAGAAAATAAGCTTTTTTCTATTTCAAAGATTGTATTTGAGATTATATTAAAGCTTAAGAATGATAAATAATTATAAGAGGAGATTAATGTTGAAGACACGCCCACTTTAATAAAAAAAAATAAAGAAATTTGAAAAAAGTAAAACAACAAATTCTAACCCCTTGCAACAAATTTCAAACAATAATGTGTTTATGAGTCAGTCATATGCAAACTTAAATGGTATAGTTAATCATTCCGAAGTGTTAGGGTTGATAATAATTCTTGTTTAATGCAAATTGTCTGAAAAATAATAAACTGCACTATCATTTTATTTATGATTTTATATTACCTTGCTAGAAAGGATGTAAGAAAGTGCTTTAGAAAAAATGAACTCTCGTTGAGAATCAAATTTTTTGAGGTTTATCTTCGTACTAAATACTGTATCGTAGAAAATAAGATTATTAATATTGAAATGCAAACAAAAAAAAAAAAAATAACTTACAGATACCATAATTGTTGGTCTAACTGCAGAAGCAGGCTGCATAGTAGTAGGATAGTAAGCTGTAGCAGCAGTTAATGGTGGATAATACTGAAGCGGTCCATAAGCAGTTGGGTAACCTGCCAAATATGTGCCAGGATAGCCTTGGCTATACATAGGTTGGTACATCTGTAACGGTAATAATATAATGCAATACCTTCCGTGTTAAATGAAAAAGGATTTGGAACTTTCTAAGTAGGTTAAATAAAAAAGCTGAATAATGTTAACCATCGGATGCGTAAGTGATTGATCATATGCAGGGGGAGGTGGTCCTTGAGAAGCATATAGCTGAGGCTGATTAGGAAAAACTCCGTATGGAGCCGCTCCTGGTACTGTATAGAAAACAAGTAAGATAATTTATTTTGTTTTGTTTTTCTTTCTTATTTCACAATTTTTATGAGTCGAAAAAAAAAGAGAATTCTTTATTAACTGATAGTGATAGATGTCACCACCAACACTATCTTAATAATTTCTGAAAGTGTAAAAAACAGCTGAGATGTCAAATTTAATGTTAAGAAGATAAGGTGTGATTACTAATCAACAGAAAATCGTTTGTCTTTGCACAATTTCAGATTTGCCTCGTTTTATTGGCTTATTTTATCGCTAATTTAGAAAAGGCATGTAATTAGTTGTTTGCTTTAAAAGATGCGTACTGAAAAATACCTTATTTTCTTTACATCTAACTTTAACAGCACAACAAGATCAAACAACCATTAAAAAATACATTAATCCACTAACGTATCAGTAAAAAACTAGCAAATTTTCTTGCTTACCTCCAAAACCGCCAGATTGTGCCGATACTGGAATGAAACTAGTCCCAGGGTGAGAAGTCACTGGAAACGCTGTAACATAATTCAACCAAAGTTAATCAAACTACTCTCGTTAAAAATAGAAGTCACATCTAAACATAAGTATAAAGTAACTACAGACTACAACCAATGTAATAATAGTTATAAACAACCGAAATCTTCGCAAAACTCACAATCAAAGTTGACACAAAAAGTATTGAAAAAAGTGCTTAGGAGTAACAGACGCTGGACTGAAGTATATATAATAAACACAAAGATAAAGTAAAAAAAAAAATCCTAATACTTTTATGAAATAACTATTATACTTCAATAAATAATCAAAGGGTGCATAACAAAAAAACGACAATAAATCTCATGTGGGTGCATATGAAAACAATTTGACAAAAAAAAATTTGTAAAGGAACTATTATTATCACTGTCCTTTTCCATACTATTCATACTGCTCAGTGAGTTTCTTATATGCAGTCCCTCAAAGTAGTAGCTTAGTTTATTTGTTAAGTTATACTTAACAGGCAATAAAATAAAATTTTTCAAATGTATCTTTTACTGTAGAAAAAAAAAATATAGAACCCTGTACAACTTCTCTTAACAGTGTTATTTTGGCTTCTTAAAACGAATAATATACATTAACAACAACAAAAAAACAGAAAAAACACAGACTTCACAAAATGAATAACAGAAGTGATGATAACGGCAATATTTGTTCAGACGTATCATCAGTACAAAAAAAGGGAAAAGATAGAAAACTATGCCATAATAATATTAATGATGGTAACTTCGATGAAAACAACAACGACAATGACAATAAAAATAATGAGGGTAATTATTATAATAATAGAAAATGTAATAATAATGATAGTGTTCCGGTTCAACTGAGTATATATTTTAAAGTAAAATATGTCACAGTTTTTTGTCTTGTATGGGTAGTAAATAAGAAAAATGCGTTTAATGAAAATGACTAGCGTTATCATGTGAAAAAAGTTGCTGTTAAGTTGTTGTCGAAAAAGTAAGCGTCCTCCTCAGATTAGAAAAAATACTGAAACTGTTAACTTCGTTATTTTAAAATAAAATGCCTTCGTCTTTCATCTTTTGGTACTTCTTACATTTATGGTGCATCAGCCAGGAAACAAAACTTGTAAGTCGAGTAAAAGAAGCTGAGATAAAGAGGAACACCGAGGCACCATTGGAAATTCTTTGGGAGCAATCACGATTTTTACTCGCAAGAATGGAGGAGTCAAGTGTGGAGAAGATCCTGATATTCCACATGGTTTTTTGCCATTGGTAAAGCAGCTAACCTTCTTTTATCAATTGATTTCGACTTCCCGGAGCAACTGCATTCTTAAGAACGTCGATTCAACGAATTTGAGGGTCAGGCGCCGTTGACGCAGTTCCGTGCTTCGCAACGCCACCTTGGCCCAGCGATTGTGACAGGCCTGGACGTCAAACTACCACCATCGCAACCCCAAGCCCCAGCTGCAACATGACCTCGTGCGCCAAGTTAGATGGCGGTCTCCTAGACTTCCTGATCCTGCTAAGTGGCAGTGCTTTCGCGCATACCGTGATCTTGTCGTCCTGAATCTATCGAGGAACAGTGCGTACGCGCACGCCATCTTTTTAAGGTGGTTTTTTCATGATTCCCGAGTCAAAGATGTGACTGTCAAGTTGATATTTATTAATGCTGCTTAAATTTTAAACGATTATTTCTTAATATTATTTATTGAGATAAATTAAGTACTGATTTAAAATTTTAGATCATAACCTACGTTATGAAAGTTCGTAGGAAAGATTATCTAAAATTCACGCTTAACCTCAAAATACTAGCAGTGGACGCTTACCTATGCTTTCAACATAGGAAACGAAAATGTGTGCCTGTGTTTCTTTTAATATCTTTTGATTAAGACCGTGAACACAAATATTTCGAGATAGCGCTATATTTGGAATTGCACAAGCTCTATTGTGTCAGCTTTTTACTTAATCAAGTTCAGTAAATAAATAACTAGGCTACAACTTTCAGTAAAAAAATGCTTAGTTGCCATAAAAGCACATGTTTAGGATTTAATTTTTATTTATCATTTTCTTGCGTTTAGTGGTAGTGTATTGTAACTCAATAAATGATTCCTCAAGATTTCATGCCATTCTGTTCATAATCATTTCATGAAAGAACCACCTTAAGTTCCTGGTCCTGTTGAGAGATAGTGCGTTCGCGCATGCAGTTACCTCGGCATCCTGAACCTGTCAAGCGGCAACGCGCTTGCGCACGCAGTATCCTTGCGCATAACAGAAATAGCGTTGGCAGTTGTTATGACAACTTATACTTAAAATCCACAGGTTTTACTTAGAATCCAGTATTCTATGGCAAAAGAAAAGTTGTATGATTTAATGAAACTACTGAATTTTTAGTCTTAACTGATGATTCACGTAACTTCATACTTTAGAAAACAAAGAGTATTGCATGTAAATTTTTTTATGAAATGAAATGGAACTTTTATAATTGAAGTTCAAACAAAAAATTTTGTAGAAATTTATGATATTTTTGTTACAATTCAATATAAAAATTAAAATTTCACTCATAGTATTGTAAAAAATTCAAGTAATTTGAATTTTACATTTCTTTCTCTTAGCTCATCATTAATTTAACCCACTAAAAATAAGGTAAAAAACAATCGAATTTTACTTCATTTAGAAGGGAGGGGCTGAGGCTGGTGGCAGGGGTATTGTGTGGAATGATTTCCTAAAATCACTATACATAGGAAGATGTATTTAAATATAAACCAAATGCAAAATCAAATTTATATGAAAATTATGCAAGAAATAATTTCTATAATATTCATATACAGCAAACATCATTATTATTTTGATTTCTATGTTACATTGCCCATTTTTGTACACGGTGGTGGCAAAAAAATACCTTTTACATATTTATCCATTCCCACTCTAAAGATCCTTTACTAAGAAGCTCACTGTTGCTCCTATTTTAAAATACAAAAATTAAAACTACAAGTAAGATTTAAAAAAAATTAAATGTAGTACAATGAAAACTTTATGAATAGATTTTTATTCTTAAACACCAAAGATGTTCAGTACAATATAAAAATAAGTAACGGTACGTATACAGATGCGCTTTACTGAATTTTATTCCGATGTATAATATACGGTAGGGTAGCATTTACGTTAATACAGTGTAACATAATTTGACCTCTCGGAGAACATCTTAGCCCCATAAATCTTTTTTGACTTTTACTTCTGTAACGTTCGATATGCAAGGCTAACTCCCCCTGGTGAGTGAAATTTAAATAGCAAGGCTACCTCAGCAAAAAAGCACCTATGAGAGGGGAACAAGGTAATATAAGGCCCAGCGAGCTTTAAATCGCGGCACTCGAGTGTTATCAAATCAAGACATCGAGCGATAATTACGGAAGAACACGAGAAACCTTGAATGGGAACACACGCGCGACTTAGCCTTATAAATGTAGTTTCTCAAATAAAGGTCTTTAAGGAAATAAGTATTGATCATTCTCGCATAGCACCTCCTTATCAATTTCTTTCTTATATAACAGATTTGGTGCTAGGTGTGGGGCATGGTAAGAGTCGAATTTTTTTTTCCTTTTATTTAACGCATTTCAAAAATTCTGACGAGAAGCACACATAGTGCAGTGCTGCGAGAATACGACGATTAAAAATTGCGAGACAGAGGATCCGATCAAAGACAACAGCTCTGGTCATATTCTATAAGCAGTGGTAACAACAGCCCAGAAGCCATGAGGACTAGAATACCAATTGCAGATTATCATAGTATCAAAGAGACAAACAGCACATGCTAAAGGGAAATGGTCCCCAAAATTTTATTTCTACTGAGGTGCATATCGATTAGCACGTAAGTACATACATATTAAAAATAATTTTATCCCTTACTTCCGAGGCTAGATAGGGGAGGCACGTATTATGTGAAGATAAGGTTGTGGGAAATTTTTATTTCAGATAAATATTTGTTATTTCGTCCACTCCCCCTTTTTGATGTTTTTGTTTTTTTTTAAACCCAACAAAAAAATCACGCGAGATAACCGACTTAAATGCGCAGTGAACTAGAAAATTTTTTGCATAGCTAACGTAAAACAGAGGGATTTTATTAGTAGACTTTGAACAGATACAGGAAATATCTTGAAATAACAATTCACACCCATATCGGTTTAAGAACTTATCACTATTTTTATTATTATCAATTTTTTCAACGAACAAACGACAGATATTCCCAAAAAAATTGTTTCTCTCTATTTGCCACCAAACGGAAATACAGCGCAAAATTAAAGAAACCAAGTGAAAGACGAACACCGCTCTGTTACTTTTTGCCTCACCTCCTACTATTCTTTACATCCGATTATTATCTGCTATGTGTAACCACCTGAGTTAACACCCTCTTAGCCATCTGCAGAAATGACTTAATGTGTGTAAACAAAGCCAAATCGTATTGTAGAGATTATTAAGAGCAAAGTCATTTAAATCAAATAAATTAATAATGTATAATATTAGAACGATAAAATTAATATTTCTGTAAAGGGAAACGTATGTTCAATAAAAAACAAGTAAAATGTTCCTTATTGTTTCTTATAATTAAGACGAAAATAGAATTTCCTCTCTTTTTTTAAGGTTGTATGCTTTCAGAACCAAGCCGAATGAAATGTATATCACCTTAATGATGTAAAGAATGTCAAGAAATGACTTCTTCCCTGACTGAGTCCCTGCATGTGCATATAGACCTTTCTTACATCATTAATTATCTACATCTCATTCAGTTCAGCTTTAAAAGCATAAAACCTCAAAAAAAGAGAGAAAATTCTGTTTTTGTCGTAATTGTAAGATACGGCTGAGCAAAATTATACTTTCTTTTTACAGAACATTCGTTTTCCTTTATAGAANGTTACTCATGCTTTATTAGAATTACTTATCATTGAGGGAAGTTGTGCGTGTATTCCTATTTCGTGGACTTCGTCCTTACCCTCTCGCGTCTCTAGCTGATCTCCCCGTCCCTTCTCTCT